AAAAATTATGCACATTAAACTTTTGTAAAACTTCATTTTTATACTCTAAATCACCGTTGTGGTAGAATTAGAATAAAACTCATTCTTCTACATTAATTCCATATCACCCTTGGGCGGAAATGGAAATAATGCATATAACTCATAAACAATGTGATGATAGTATTCCTATTAAACAACTTTGCTAAGAAATAATCATCATCAACAACTTTATTGCAGCGGAAAACGAGCAATATACATTTCTAGTCTTTATCAAGTTCTCTGAAAAAGGTCACTTTGATACAAAATTTATCAGAGATTTGAACTTTTGAACATAAGACTCATAGAAATATAGTATTGTTATCATCAACGTTGGTCAGAAATAACAATACTATATTTTAACTTTAAAAGAAATATCTTTCTTTTATCATATCGGAAACTATGTGCATCTTATTTCACCCACAGGGAAAAACATTGCTAAGAACAATTCTTCCAATTAATTTAATTGAAGGATAAAACTTTTTCTTTGCAATAGAAACTTTACAATATTCTAATCAGAAACAATTCTGTACTCTTTTACTCTCTAAGCAATTTTAACTGATTTGTTCAAAATTGCATTAGAGAAGCAACAATTTAATCTTTTACTTTAGTTCTATTCACTTTTAGAAGAGCACTTTTATCTATTTGCAGCGGAAATAGATATAAAAATTCATCAACTTTATTGTTTTCATCAACTTTTATTTTACTTTTCTATTTTCTAGACAAAAAAATCTCTGAATAATTTGAATAGAAAAACCGTGTCATATTTGCCCAAAAAAACTGGACAAAAACAAAAAAGGACAGTGAAAGTGTTCTGTGCGCGCGCGCCGCTCGTGGCCCACGGCCTGCTGGGCGAGCTTCGCTCGGCCGCCCGAGCTCCTCGGCCCACGGCCCACAGCGGCAATGTGGCTGCAGCCTGGTCCACCGGACCAAAGACCCGCCTTACTTTCGGCCCATAAGACCCAGCTTCGGCTAGGGTTTTGATCACGGCCGTCCGTGACGATCCGACGGCCCAGCGCGGATATCGCTGGATCAAAACCAGTCCCGATCCGCCTGGGAAACCCTAATCCCATTCGATTCTTTCCCGTCACAGGCTCTTTCTCGCACGCCCGGCCACCGCGCCGCGCCCGGCCGCCGGCTACGGCGTCGACGGCCAACACGCCGCGCCAGGGCGCCGGCGACGGCGTCAACTGCCACCGCGCCGCTTTCTACTTCTCCCTCCTGTTCTTTCCCTACCCACCGTCATCCACTGGCAGAGAGGGAGGGACGTGCTTGCGCCCTCCTCTGCTCCCCTTTGCGCTCGACGGCGCCCTTCTCTGGTGGAGTAGCGGCTGGGAACGGCTGCGCCGGCAGCAAAACCACCGCGCCACGCGAGCGACCTCCCCTCCCCTCTCCTTTTCTTCCTTCTTTTCTGTGGCAAAGAGAACGAGAGAAGGAGAGTGTCGCGGCGCCGCTGCGCCCCCTCTGCCCCCTTCCCATCTGCGACGTTGCCATCCCCTTCGCCGGCTGCGCGTTTGCCTCGCGGTGAGCGCGCCGCCGTCAAACGGTTTGGCCGCGGTGCCCCTTTTTCCTTTTTTTATTCTTCTTCCGACGCCTCGGCTTACCGATGCGCGTCCGGATCGAGAGGAACGGCGCGGCCTTGCGGCGGCGCTCTTTGCCGGCGAGCTCAAGGCCCTGCCCTGTGATTTTCGGGTTTTGCCCTGTCTAGAGTTCTTGGGGGGAAAGGAGGATCTTTCTTTCTCTGTATATGTTTTGTACCGAAGATCTTAGCCTAACATGGCTCTGAAACCATTGATAGATAATGTGGGTCGGTTAGGCTAGGATTCCGCCAACAGTGATAGGTATTACCTTTCCTTGTGGCTTTAGGAGCTCCGGTTGCCGGCTATGGCGCCGGTGCCGGTGTGATGGCAGAGAGTAATGATGGCGGTGCTTCCCATCAGCACTGCACTAACCCTAAATCGGTAGGGGATTAGATGGGGTGTACGGCGCTGCGACAAACCTCGTGATGCGAGCCGCCGGCCCCCACCTCTTTATATAGTGCAGGTGACAGAGGCCCATCACCCATAGTGGGTTGATTGCCCCCGATCAGGGCGCGGATCTAAGGGCCCGATGGGCCGTTGGGCCCACACGGTGGAGATCCTCCTAACACTTCCATCTCCGCGGTAGAGCTGCATTTAAGCTTACGACCTTGCCGCATGGAGCATGCCGAGACCTCCTTCCTCGTCGCGGGAGAGCCACAGCCGCAAGTGGTGCAGCGGAGCGAGGTCCAGGGCCCAGCGAAGGGTGGGGGCGGCCGGGCGGTCCCGGCGATCCTCTCGCTCGTGGTCACCGGCGGCTTAACGTCGGGGCCGTACTAGACGCGCGACCTCGAGCTCGTGGTCATCGCCACCTACCTCCCCGTGGCGCTCTGCTGCTGCCTCCGGAAGCTCGTGCTCCTGCGGCGCGAGGACGACCCGGCGGCCGCGCCCGAGCGGCGGGGGCAGTGCACTGGTTCTCCATGTGGGCGGCCTCGCTGGCGCTGGGGTGCATCATCGCGGCGTGGGTCCCGAATGCGACGCCGAACCATGCGCTCAAGGTCGTCATGTGGGTGCTCGTCGGCCTGGCCATGGGCCTCTCCTGCTACCTCTTATATGCCCGCGACGGCGGCGATGCCCGTGCGGACGGCGGACAATGGCCGGAGAAAGTTCCCCACGATGTGTCCCCGGAGGAGAGGGTTTGAGGATTTGAGCTATACGTGTCGTGGACTTGCCATTGCTTCATTCTTTATTTATTTTGTAATTTTGTTTACTTGATTATTATTGGATGGTAAGCTTTCGAATGAGTTTCGGCTTTCGCCTTTTGATGTTAGGCTTAGGTAAGTGGTTTGGGTAGTGGCCCAGCTAGCACCCCTTCATCATATTGAATAGGAGTAGCGGCATATGTTGCCAAGATGATGAATTCAGGCACATTGTTGTAATACTTTGTACGGTCCTCGAGAATAATCAATAAAGTGGCCGTATGCATCTCCCAGATGCAGAGGCCGGGGTCATCCTCCTTTTCTAAATAAAAAAAATTGGATGGTAAGCTGTTCATATATTGATTGGGTATGGGGACATACGGACAACCCGAACATACTGGGACAGAATGAAGGGTTCAGTTGAGTGACATTTTTCTTTCTCTCTTTTGTTCAAGCAGTTATCGTCCGTCTAAATGTTTGGGTAAAGTTTAAGGAGACCAATTATAGATGTTCTAAGCTTCCTAGACTTGAAGTCTTCTAACGTGTCCGAAGCCATGGAGACGTTGCGGTCCAATGAAAGAGTGTGCCTTGTTGGTTGCGTGTTTTTGTTTGTTTCTATTTTCATCAATTTTCTTTTCTCGGGATTTTTTCTCTTTCTTTTTTTCACGTTTTAATTCATGAACCCTGGTGTGTCGGGTTGTGGCATCACGTGTGCCAGTAAGGGTGTGTGTCACTGGTTGTTGGTCTGTTTTTTACTGACTTTTCTTCTCTTTATTTTGAATTTCTTTTTCACATTCTTCATGCACTTTATTAAAACAATTAACATTATTTAAAATCCTCGAACATTTCTGAAATGCATGAATACTTTTAAAGTTCACAAACATTTTTAAAGTTTATTAATATTTTTAAGTTGCGAACTTGTCTTAAATTGAAAAATAATTTTGAAATCCATGAATATTTTAAAATTCCTGAAACATTTTAATTCATGAATATTTTGAAATCCACAAATAATTTACAAACATTTTTATATAGACCTCACATCTACTCTTACCATGTCAATATGTGAGGTGGTACAGTATTCAAGTTACTGTCATAGTGCGTATACGCTGACTGGCTGGTGACCATACTGCATATAAAAGAATAAAAGGAGTTGCGACCTACTCACTCAGGTCCAGGGAAAAGTTAATGGACAGACCAAAGGCCCAAAAAAGCTTGTAATGTAGTCATTTTTCTTGCACAGGTTCCCTACTAAACACGATCATTTTTCTTGTAAAGCACTCATTTTTCTCTAAAAAAATGAAGCACATCTATAAACAAAGCAAGGGATGAATCCATGCATGCATATATACCGTTTGTATAAACAAGTATGTGTTTTTAGCCACAAATCTTGCAAATTATTATTATATTATTTTCAAATTTGCATCGATTTTGGTTATCATGGTATATATATAGCGAAAGCATATTGAAATAATTTGATATATATCAAAATCAAATGGTATTTCAAGTTTATATTATATTTACAAATCAATACTGTGTAAATCAAAAAACCATAGAAACTGAACCATAGATATTAGAAACTAAATAAACCAAATGCACAAGAAAGTCAGAAGTTGACCACGGTTTGCCAAAGAAAAGGATAACCGCAGGAAGAGTCATACGCGCATGTTAAATTTTAACTGTGATTGTGAAAGGACGTGCTGCCATGGAGCTTCCGCAGAAAGAGTCACACTTGCGGATGCAAGTGGACGCCGTTCGCATGTTCGTGACCATCCGCAAAGCGAAAATTGCACTAATATGTATTACTTTATTTAATAATCATGTTAGTTTAATTGACGGTCTTGTCTTCGTAGGCACGCATCTACTTAGTACCCCCTCTCAAATTTTCATAAGATTTTTATATATGAGTGTGGTTAGATCTTTGTTGACTAAAACTTAATCAAGTCTCAATTAAGCGACAAGAGATATATAAAAAATTACACGGATCATCATGTAAAATTCCATGAGTATAGCATCGACTGAGACTTTAAATCTCAATCGACTTAGATTTAATAGTCCCATCTAAATCTACATATAGATTATCAAAATACTTCTTTGTAAAGAAATTGTATAAGAGAGCGTTTAGATCACTGAAACTTTAAAGTGATCTAAACGCTCATTTATACGTCCACACAGTTGCCAAAGAAAAGGATAAATTTTCAAATAGAGCTCAGCGCAGCAGAGAAACAGTCGAGTAGTGCTCCTCGATCCGTCCCCGCCGGAAGCCGCTCAAATGGTGCCCGCGACGTACGCCCCTTTCCCGCTCGCGCAAGATCAAGAAGCGTTGTCGGGGCCGCCGCAGACTGTACACCTGGGCCAGGCGCCACAGCGCGGGGGTGGCTGGCGCGCCTGGGCACGCCGCGCGTACACGGTGATCGCCCTGCTCGCCTTCACCGCCGGCTTCGCGTGGGCGATGCGCCGGACGCGCCGCAGCCCGTGCGACCTCGCGTTCGTGATCACAGCCTACTACCTCGTCGCCGTGCTCTGCTGCTGCGTCAGGAAGCTGCAGCTCCAGCGGCTCGACGACGACCCGTCGTTGGCCCCCGAGCGGCGCCGGGCCAGGCTCGCCGCGTGGGCGGCCTCGGCGCTCTTCGTCGTCGCCTGCTTCGCGTGGGCGGTGTACCGCGCGCGCCGCAGGCCGCGCGCCCTGGCGTTCGTGATCGCCATCTACTACCTCATCGCCGTGCTCTACTGCTGCCTCAGGAAGCTCGAGCTCCTGCGGCTCGAGGACGACCCGGCCGCGGGGCCCGAGCGGCGGCGGACCAGGCTCGCCGCCATGGCGGTCTCGGTGGCGCAGGGCAGCACGGTTGCGCTGAGTGCCGCGGACAGGATGCCGAACCTGGCGCTGAAGCTGGCCGTGTTTGGGCTCACCGCCATGGCGTTGGGCCTCGTGTACTTCTTCATTTTCAGCCGCGTAGATGGGGAGTACGGGCGTGCTCAGTCGGAGAGGCCTTTGCACGAGCAATCCCCGGAGCAGAGGGCCTAGCTATGTGGAATGCGTGCTCGTTGCATTTTGGACCGAGGACCGTATTCGTAGATTGCATTCTGTATAGACAACTTTATTGTGCGCACGGTAACAGAGAATATGAGTATAGTACACGTGTAGTGTAGTTTCAAAAAAGAGAGTACACGTGTAGTGTGCAAAATGGAAAGTCAAAGTGAAAACACTTTAGCTGTATATTGCCTGATTTTCAAATTTTAATAAGTCATTTTTTAAAATTTTGTCAAAGATTTGTGATGTTTTTTTTATTTCTTGTTGTTTCATGGTTTTCTCGCTGAATAAAACAGTGCTCACGTACACACAGAGCTTCATGGTCGAAGGCACCTCATGGTCATGGGGTACTCCGAGGTCGAGCGGCAAAGCATTGCTGGCCGACTCGATTGTCGGATGGGGATTACCTATCTCTTAGTCCTTCTGTTCCCAAATTGATGGCATATAAATTCAGCCAAAAATCAATCTCTCTAAGTTTGACCAAATATATAGTAGAAAATATCAACAACTATAATACTGCATACATAGGTTATGAAAATATATCTAATGATGAATATAATGATATTGATTTGATACTGTTTATTTTCATATAGACTTGATCAAAATTAAAAACATTGACTTTTCTTTATAGAATTTATACACCAACTATTGAGGGGCGGAGGTAGTGTCTGGCAATCCCTATTAGCGAGTCTAGCCTCTCTATTACCGATCTGCGTCCAATTGTGATCAAAATCTAACAAAGAGTCAAGCCTTGGCAGGCAGGTGACTCTTCAAGGCGGCAAGAACAGTGTTGATTTACCCATTCATGTCGAGTCTTCTCATGTTTATTATAGGTTTCTATAACTTTTATGAAACCCTACACCACGAGATTGCAAAGTTTCAATCCAATTTTTTCTGGGCTGACAATAGATGGACAGACATTTGCAAGCCTAAGAAAGAAATACAGTAAATTCCTTTAGAGGAACAATAAATTTCTAATCATAAAAATCATCTTCAGACTAAGTGAGTTGAATTATTCAGAAACTATTTTTTAGTTATCACCTGGCTATCCCATGACCAAATCTGAGGAGAATTATTATTCAGACGCGCTTGCCGATTTGCCTCAACCGTGGACAGAGTCGCCCCTCAAAAAAAGAAAAAAAAACATGGACAGAGTCGCTGTCCGGCTGCTCCGTCTCACCATGACCATATATGAAGGCCAGCGCTGCTCGCGACAGAGAAACACCCTCGCAGCACCGACACCTGCATCGCAACCCGTCCACTCGCGCAGTTACGCCGGCCGGCATCAGGTGCACCCTTTAAGCTCACGACGACCTTGCCCGGCGGCCAGTGGCGTCGATGGAGCCGACAGAGACCGCCTTCCTCGTCGCCGGAGACACGCCGCCGAAGAAGACGGTGCAGCTGGGCCAAGGTGAGGGCTCTGCGAAGCCCGGGTGCGGACGGGCGTTCTGGGCGATCCTCTCGCTCGTCACCGGCAACTTGGCGTGGGGGTTGTACCGCGCGCGCCACAGCAGCGCGCATGACCTCGCCTTCGTGATCATGGCCTACTACCCCACCTACTTCTGTCTCTGGGGGCTCTACGTCTGCACCAGGAGGCGCGAGCTCTTGCGCCGCGACGACGACCCGGCGGCGGCGCCCGAGAGGCGGCGTGCCAGGTTCAGAGTGTGGGCGGCCTCACTGGCGGTGGGCGCCATGATCGTGCTGCAGCTCGCGGGTGACACCCCGGACCTGCCGCCCAAGTTCGCCTTGACCGTGATCGGCTGTCTCGCCATGGCACTCGCCTGGTGCTGCATATACGCCGGCTACAGAGCCCGTGCGGACGCCGCTGGAAGCTGGCCGGAGAAGGATCTTCACGAGGTGTCACCGGAGCACAGGGTTTGAGCTTTGAAGCTTTGAACTGTACATACGTGGAAGCAGCAGGTTGTTTATATTCTTGTTAATCTTGTAACCTTTGTCTCTTGATACTTTTTTTTAAACTGGTATCTTGAAACTTTATTGGTGAACTGTTCCGTCGGCGTCTGTCTATAAACCATACTACCTCTGTATTATAATGTTTTACTTCATCTGTCATCTGTCCTAAAATATTAATGACTCAACTTTATACTAACTCTGTACTAAAGCTAATATAAAATTGAGTCACTTATTTTGGGATGAAGGAAGTATAATAAAAGATGTTTTTTTGACATTTTAAGAAACATCTTATATTATAGTAATGCAGAGGGAGTAACTAGTTGTATGTGTCTATTCTGTAAAGTTTGGCTGATGATTATATTTTTGAGATTTTTTACATCTTTCCGCTGTTGTTTTTTCGTCTCATTTCTTCAACTCTTTCCACCATCGCACAATAATACAGGAACACCCGCATGCCAACAATGTAATCCAACACGACACGCAAAAACATCTTGTCGTCAAAATGCGCTTCTTTTCTCCTATGTGTTTCATAAGCAAAAGTAAAAAAACAAAACAAGGAAACCAAAACCATGTATCAAAATTCTTCAACAACTATCACGCCATGAAGAAGAAGACGGCGAGGGGGATGGGGGCGACCATCCCTGTTCTGACCATAGAACCAGAGAGGTCTTACCTTAGTAGCTTCTTGACAAAGTCGAAGCTGACCGTGCATCGTCAAATAGAGAAGCCATCTTCCCCTAATAATAACTAGCAAAAAAGCCCGTGCGTTGCAACGAGAGAGAAAACATAACACACGCTCTTAACTCAACAATCATCACTCAAGACCACAATAGGTCCATCTTCTTTATTTTTGCGAGGCATCATATTTGTATTGCCGCTTATTCTCCTTCTCATCCTCGCCGGTGATGGCATCAGTGTTCACACAAAACAACAAAAAATGTGTGTTGAATATGGTTAATCCTAAGACGTCTCTCTCTACCTCTCTCCTCCATCTACCTCTCTCTCTCTCTCTAAGAAATCTGTTGTTTTCCCCTGCGACATTTTTCAGAGGTATGCATGCGTAGTTATCGATGTTTTCTTTTCCCTATATAGTTATAGTGGGGTGTTTATTTGCAATCTGGATCGCCGCCGGCATGAAAAAAAGGATCTTGCGCTATAAATTATAAGTTTGCTTCCATAAAAATATTTTAAAAATATTTAACAGGTAAAATAAAAATCATATTTAGATTCAACACATTTTTCTAATAAAATTTCATATATAATATGTTAAAATCAAAGTTACGGTTTAAAAGATATAGATAATTTATAGAATCATTTGGTTGACTCAAATATATTCTAAAATAATATTTTTAAAATACTTAACAAGTAAAAATAATCTCATATTCATATTCTACATATTTTTCTAATCAAATTTCATATATAACATGTTCAAATTGGAGTTACGGTTCAAAAGATATGAATCATTTAAAAAGCATTTTTTTGACTTAAATATGATTCGTTGATGAATTACCTAAAACATTAGGGGGGTTTTGAAAATGTAAAATAACGGTTCGGGTGTGACTTAAATCCGAACGGCGGGTTGATTTCAAGAAAAAAGACAGAGACTTTTGTGTAAAATACGAAAATAACGATTCGTTTTAACTTCAAACAGGACTGCGGGTTGAATTCTCTGAAATAGAAGGACTTTTCTAAAAAACGCCATGACGGCGTTCGTCACAGCATCTTTTAAAAAAGTCCCTCTATTTCAGAGAATTCAACCCACAGTCCTGTTTTAAGTTAAAATCAATTGTTATTTTCGTATCTTTACCTAATAATAAAGCAAATTGGATTTTTTCGTTCGTCATAGCATTTTTTTAAAAAGTCCCTCTATTTCAGAGAGTTCAACCCGCAGTCTTGTTTTAAGTTAAAACGAATCGTTATTTTCATATTTTACATAAAAGTCCATATCTTTTCTTGAAATCAACCCGCCATCCGGATTTAAGTCACACCCTAACCGTTATTTTACATTTTTTGAAAACCCCCTTGATGTTTTAGATAATTCATCCGCAGATCATATTTAAGTCAAACAAATGCTTCTTAAAATCATTCATATCTTTTAAACCGTAACTCCGATTTAAACATGTTATATATGAAATTTGAATAGAAAAATATGTAAAATATGAATATGAGATTATTTTACCTGTTAAGTATTTTTAAATATTATTTTTAATTATATTTGAGTCAAACTAAATGTTTCTAAATTATCTGTATCTTTTAAACCGTAACTTTGATTTTAACATATTATATATGAAAGTTTATTAGAAAAATATGTGAAATCTAAATATGATGTTAATTTTACCTGTTAAATATTTTTAAAATATTGTTATGGAAGCAAACTTATAATTTATAGCACAAGATTTGTTTTTTTCATACCGGCGGCGATCCGAATTGCAAATAAACACCCCACTATAACCATATACGAAAAAGAAAACATCAATAACTACACATGCATACCTCTGAAAAATGTCGCAGGGGAAAACAACAAATTTTCCATCGCGAGAGTGAGAGAAAGCGAGCGAGAGAGAGAGAGAGAAAGAGAGAGAAAAGGAGAGGGGGGAGAGAGGGAGAGAGAGACGCCTTAGGATTAACCATATTCAAAAACACACGTTTTTTGTTGTTTTATGTGAACACCGAGGCCATCGCTGGCGAGGGTGAGAAGGAGGATAAGCGGCAACACAAATATGTTGTACCAGCTCAGAGCCTAAGTGTTGCAAAACGGTCTAAGCCACGTATAAACGCGTACTGATGGTGTATCCGACCGCTGAGACGTGTGTCAGGGGATGACGTGGCATGCTCTTTTACAAAAAGAACCCTTACTTTTTATTTAATCACGCATATATCCTGTGTGTGTTAAAAAAAGGCCTTGCCACAAAAATAAACGAGATGGACCTATTATGGTCTTGAGTGATGGTTGTTCAGTTAAGAGCGTGTGTTATGTTTTCTCTCCCGTTGCAACGCGCGGGCTTTTTGCTAGTAATAATAACCAACGATTGCTTCTGGTTGTCTGTCATCGGCCTTTTTGCAAAAAGTCCCTCAGTTTCTGCGAAATTAACTCACAGTCCTATTTTAAGTGGATATATGAGAAAACATTTATTTGCAGGAACACCCCTGCATTTGAGAGTATTCAACGTGCGATCCTTATGTTTCTTTTTTTGCGAGTTAATTGCAGGGAACTACCACACTTCAGCACGTCGTAACGAATCAGTACCATTAGTCATTTTTTTGCCATGCAGTACCAGCTCAGAGCCTAAGTGTTGCAAAACGGTCTAAGCCACGTATAAACGCGTACTGATGGTGTATCTGACCGCTGGGACCCGTGTGTCAGGGGATGACGTGGCATGCTCTTTTACAAAAAGAACCCTTACTTTTTATTTAATCACGCATATATCATGTGTGTGTGTTAAAAAAAGGCCTTGACACAAAAATAAACGAGATGGACCTATTGTGGTCTTGAGTGATGGTTGTTCAGTTAAGAGCGTGTGTTATGTTTTCTCTCCCGTTGTAACGCGCGGGCTTTTTGCTAGTAATAATAACTAGCTATTGCTTCTGGTTGTCTGTCATCGGCCTTTTTGCAAAAAATCCCTCAGTTTCTGCGAAATTAACCTGCAGTTCTATTTTAAGTGGGTATATGAGAAAACATTTATTTGTAGGAACACCCCTGCATTTGAGAGTATTCAACACGTGATCCTTATGTTTCCTTTTTTGCGAGTTAATTGCAGGGAACTACCACACTTCAGCACGTCGTAACGAATCAATATCATTAGTCATTTTTTTTTTTTGCCATGCAGTACCAGCTTAGAGCCTAAATATTGCAAAACGGTCTAAGCCACGTATAAATGCGTACTGATGGTGTGTCTGACCGCTGGGACCCGTGTGTCAGGGGATGACGTGGCATGCTCTTTTACAAAAAGAACCCTTACTTTTTATTTAATCACGCATATATCCTCTGTGCATTAAAAAAAGGCCTTGCCACAAAAACCATGTTTTTCGGGAAATAACAGCCCGCGCATGTGCCGCCGGGTTTCAAACTCGCGACGAGCTGTTGGAGGGGGAAGCTCGCCGTCGCTGCGCTACTACTCTTTTTGCGGTAACAAGCACACGTAAATATTTTTGTACTTTGTGTCATTCGGTTTTTTCTACAAAGTAGAAAATCACGCGCCGGTCCGCCAGAAATCTCGATCTCGCGCACGTTTGCTTGCGCATCCTATGCGTCAACGTACGGGTATACGTCTTTAAACTCCGTGCCGTTCCGGTTTTTATACGATACTAACAAAAATATTATATGACATTAAAAAAAGTTTGTCGCGCCGTATAATTGAAAATATGTTCATTGCATGATATATTAAAAAGTTCATCGTTTATATATTGAACATTTTATAATATACAATGTCTGAAGAATAAACCTGCTGGTCTCTGCCTTGTTTTTGGTTGATGTTCAAAATTTTTAAAATTACTCTGAAAGGTAAATAAAGTGTTTGTGCATTTGAAGAAAAAATGTTCAGAACATTTTTGGGAAATGTTGAACGCGTATTTAACAATTGTAAATGTATTTTATAAAATGTTCGTCATGCATTATAAAATTTATTACGATTACACAATAATTTTTAGTACATGTTATCATTTTTTTGAATAACTGTGCATTAAAAAAATACAACAAATATATGCAGTAACTGTGAGTTGGGCATATAATTTTTTTAATTGTGTATTTCAAAAGTATATTGATGATGCATAATAATTGTGCATGCGTGTGATCCTGAGTGAAGACACATAAATTTTTTCTTACATTTGTGTTTTAATCCACATAAATTTTAGAAAAAAGTTCATACTTGGCACTAAATAATACTAACCCACATAAAAACTTACCGTGCATGGGTCTGGTGCTTTTCACTAAATAGTAGTAACATATAATTCCAAAAAAACTGATAAAGAAT